GAGATCCCGGCTTTCCGTGAGGCTCCGCAGCCCCTGTCTGGGACTGGGCAGAGGCAGTGGCTGTGGGGGGATCACATGGACACAGCTCTTTGTCCGTGCTCCCTGCCCCTGCCATGATGTCCCCAGGACACCTCCTGCTGTACCAGTGCCAGGGGACAGCTGTCCTGGCCACGCTCCATGACTTGGAGCCCTGGGCAGTTCCAAACATGGCTTTTACTGAATCACAGTGTGCAACATCACCAGTGGCTTCGGTGCCCCAGAGCCACCCCCTGTCCCCTCCTCCCTCAGGCCACGGGTTTCCGGGGTGGCACGTGGGTCTTCCTGCGGTAGCGGCCGGGCAGCAGCAGCTCCAGGGTGAGCTCGGTGATGATGGCCGTGAGCCCCCACACCCTGTGGGGGCCGTTCAGGAACACGGGCAGGGTGTACCCGTAGCCGGTGGCCGTGCGGAAGTGGGTGTAGCCCTGGTTCTCCTCCCGCAGCAGGTGAGCCAGGGGCAGGGTGAACACCTCCTCCACCTGCCGGCACAGGTGAGGGGGTCACCGTGGTGACACACCCGGTGACACCAGGAAAGGGCTGCAGGCCCCAGGGAGGGGTCACCCACCTCGTCGGGGTTGGGGGTCAGTGTCAAGGCCTCCAGCGGCCCCAGGTTGGCCACGACGGGCGCTATGGTCATTCCTTGCTGGAAAGTGTGTCAGCGAGGGATGGGGTGACAACCCCCTCTCCAAAGTGCCACCCGTGTGCCTTGACCCCCCTGCACCCAACCGAGGCCCCCACCATGTGTGTGTCACCCAAAACCCCCCCTTCACCTGCAGCCACTGCCCTGTGTCCCTATCACCCTAAATCCCCAGAACTCCTGTCACCTGTGTCCCTGCTGACTTGTCCCTATCACCTGTAAGCCCTGTCACTTGCATCCCTGTCACACCAAACCCGTTACCCATGTCCCTGCTGCCTTGTCCCTGTCATCCTGAACCCATCACCCATGTCCCTGTTAACCCAAGTCCCCTATCCCATGTGACCCAGCTGCCTGTCCCTGTCACCTGTAACTCCTGCCACCTGCATCCCTGCTGCCTTGTCTCTGTCACCCCAAACCCCTGTCACACGGAAACTTCCGTCCCTGTCACCTCAAACCCATCACCCAGGACCCTGCCCCTTCGTCCCTGTCACCCAGAACCCCATCACCCGTGTCCCTGCTGCTTTGCCCCTGTCACTTGGAAGCCCTCCTCTGTGTCCCTTCTGCCGTGTTCCCGTCACCCGTGTCCCTGTCACCCATAACCCTTGTCCCCGTCACCTCGAACCCATCACCAAACCTGTCACCCGTGACCCCGTCACCGATTTCCTGCCCCTTGCCCTTGTGTCCT